TTCAAGCAGTCTTGAACCAAGGTGGCTGTCCTGTTGCATTTATGTCCAAGATTTTGCAAGGTAGTGAGCTACATTACCCAGCTGTAGAGAAAGAGGCTACTGCCATTATAGAGGCAGTGTGCACATGGAGCCATTTCCTAGCCAGACGTCATTTTGTGCTGATCACTGATCAACCCTTTGTAGCATTTATGCTGGACAGCAGAAGGCGAACTAAAATAAAGAATAATAAAATACAAGAATGGAGGTTGGAGCTAGCATCCTTCAGCTACACCATATGGTATCGCCCTGGAAAGGAAAATGTGGCTTCTGATACGATGACCAGAGCATTTTGCTGTTCAACATTTCCTGCTTCTACTCTCACTAAAATCCACAATGGACTCTGTCATCCTGGAGTGACTCGGCTCCTACATTTTGAAAGATCAAAAATCCTCCCATACTCAATAGAAGATGTAAAAAGAACATGTGGATCTTGCAAAGTCTGCGCAGAATTGAAGCTCCAGTTCTACCGCCCATCGGAAGGGACACTCATAAAAGCTACTCAGCCTATGGAGCGACTCAGCATTGATTTCAAGGGGCCTCCACCATCAGCGACCCGTATTCCTTATATGTTTACAGCCGTTGAGGAGTACTCACGCTTCCCTTTTGCATTCCCATGCCCTAACATGCACACCATAACTGTGATCAAATGCCTTGAAACAATATTTAGCCTTTGTGGAATGCCCAACTTTATACACTTAGACAGAGGTACCTCCTTTATGTCCTTGGAGCTCAAGGCATATCTTTCTCAAAAGGGTGTCGCAACAAGCAGGATAACACCCTACCATCCCACAGGGAATGCGCAGGTCGAATGGTACAATGGTATCATATGGAAGGCTATTCGTCTAACACTAAAGTCACACGATCTAGTAGATCAACATTGGGAATTAGTGCTTCCAGATGCACTACACTCAATTAGATCACTTTTGTCTACTTCAACAAATACAACCCCACATGAGTGGTTTTGGGGATTTTCAACGACGCTCAACTCACGGTAGTTCACTACCATTATGACTTATGTCCCTTGGACCAGTGTTGCTTCGACGTTTTGTCCGGTCTAGCAAGAATGAACCTCTAGTACAGTAGACCAAGTTGAGCTCATTGATGTAAACCCAACATATGCTAGCATTAGGTATCCAGATAGACGCCAATCTACAGTATCTGTCCGTGATTTGGCCCCGTGTCCAACGAGTCTTACAACTCCTGTGAAGCAGCATGATGTCGAATCTGATCACAAGAATCAGCCCTCTCGAGTCCATGACAATGGGACGAGAATGATGGATTACCCTACTACACCAAGTATTCAAGGACTTGACTTGCCGTGTGAAATACCCAGTGAATGTTCCCCCTTCCCCGGTGACACCCAGGAGGTCTACTCCAGTACCAAAGCCTCCCACTCGTTATGGCTGGGATTAAGATCATGTATTGAAGTAAATTAATATCTTAATGAGCAGTAGGTATTTGAGTTATCTGCTGTGTTTACGTACTACCTGTATTAGTGCACATTTTCTAGGAGGGAAGAATGTGAGATTTTTAAAATATTAGGGAAAATATTGTAATATTATTTTGTTCTTGTTTGTAAGCATCAATTTAGTTTATTTCATTATTAGGAAAAACCACCATGTTATATTATGTTCACTGTTGTTTCCTCTTTGAATTGTTACAACATTTGCTTTTGTGTTATTTCAGATATATAATGAAATGAGTCAAGTAAAGCTTGGATGTACCAACCAAGTGTTTATTTACCACACTTAACATAAGAACATGAGAATGGAGGAAACTGCAGCGGGCCTATTGGCCCATACTGGGCAGTCCTGTTTACACCCAACCCCCATTGCTCATATAAGCATCCAACCTATGTTTGAAGCTATTCAGCGTATTCGAGTTAATGATGATATTTGGGAACCTGTTCCATTCATCCACTACTGTGTTTCCAAACCAGTGTTTACCTATTTCGTGCCTAAATCTAAATTTGTCTAATTTAAAACCATTGTTACGAGTTCGCTCCTGGTTGGATAGTTTGGGTACCTTTGTAATGTCCCTTTTGTTTAGCCCTGACTTCCATTTATACACCTCTATCAGGTCGCCCCTCGCTCTACGTCTCTCGAGGGAGTGCAAATTAAGATGCTTTAACCTGTCTCTATACTCAAGGTTCCTAATGCCCGGGATTAGTCTTGTCATTCTCCTCTGAATTCTTTCCAAGGATTCTATATCCATTCTGTAATACGGTGACCAGAACTGAACTGCGTAATCCAGGTGTGGTCTCACAAGCGCAAGATACAGTTTTAGGATGACCTCGCTAGTCTTGTAACTAACACTCCTTTGTATGAACCCAAGTACTTTATTAGCCTTGTTATGAGCAAAAACACATTGTTTACTTGTCTTAAGGTTCCTACTTATTATTACTCCTAAATCTCTCTCGCAGTCGGATTTCTCTATGTCATCGTTGTTCATCTGGTATCTGGTTTCCCTGTTTACATCTCCTATACTGAGCACTTTACATTTGTCCACATTGAACTTCATCTGCCATTTTTCAGACCATTCGAAAAATTTGTTTAGATCTTCCGGTACTTTTGCGGAGTCCTCGTCAGATTTAATAACACGTCCTATTTTAGTGTCATCAGCAAATTTACTTATGTTGCTGTCTATGCCGATATCTATGTCGTTTATGTATATAAAAAAATAATAATGGTCCAAGTACTGAGCCCTGGGGAACTCCACTAGTGACGTTGCTCCAATGGGACTTATTGCCATTAATGCTCACTCGCTGTTTCCTGTCCTGTAACCACGCCCTGATCCATTTAAGGATATTACCTTTGATGCCATGTGCTTCTACCTTTCTAATTAGTCTTTCGTGGGGGACTCTGTCGAAGGCTTTTCTAAAGTCGAGATATACCACATCATAATTGTGCCCTTCGTCCACCGATTCGAAAACTGATGAAAAGAATGTTAATAGATTAGTTAGACATGAACGCCTGCTTGTGAAGCAATGTTGGGAATCATTGATCAACTTGTGCTTCTCCAGGTGGTTTCGAATAGAGTTTAAAATGATTGATTCAAGTAATTTGCCTACTATTGATGTTAGGCTGATTGGGCGGTAGTTAGAGGATAGTGATCTATCCCCCTCTTGAAAATCGGTATTACATTTGCTATCCTCCAGGATTCTGGTACTACACCTGTATTTAAGGACATGTTAAACAACTTTGCTAAGGGCTTACTAAGCTCTTCCTTACATTCCTTTAATACTCTGGCAAATATCTCATCGGGACCAGGTGACTTATTAGGCTTTAGTTTATCTATTTGCTTACTAACATCGCTACTAGTCACTACTATCTCGCTTAAGTTGTTTTCTTCACTATCTCTGAATAGAGTCGGTGCCTCAGGAATCATGTTTACATTTTCGGTGGTGAAAACTGTTGAAAAATATTTATTCAAATTATTGCTCATTTCTCCATCGTTGTCAGTGAGCTCGCCGGTATCTGATCTGACCGTATTGGTCCAATCTCTTCTCGTGTTTTAGTTTGATACATTTGGTAGAATCCTTTGGGGTTTGTCTTCACCTCCCTTGCTATCCTTACCTCATTATTCCTCTTGGCTTTCTTTATCTTGGTTTTAACCCTACTCGCCAAGACCTTATAATAATCCTGGAGGTAAATTTCGCCATGATTTATCCTTCTATTGTACCTATAGCCGTCCTTTGGCCAATCATGTTCTTTAAATAATTATTTATCCATTTAGGGTCATTGTTGTCTGATCTGAGTTTTTTGTATGGTATGTTCTGCCTTTGTGCATTAAGTAACTCATTATTTAAATTGTCGTGGAACTCGGCAATCTCAGATCTCGTTTTCAGGTCGGTGTCATCTGTCAGGTTCACGGCCAAGCGCGTCACCCCTTCTCTCAGCTGCCTCTTTAAACTGTCAAAGTTTGCCCTTCTGAAATCTGGTACTTTAGTGGAATTTTCTTTATGTCGGCCCTGAAAATCTAACTGGAATCTAATTTCTTTGTGATAGCTGTTTGCAAGTTCGTTCCCTACCTCGACATTGCTAATGAGGTTTTCTCTGTTCGACAGAACTAAATCGAGTATATTATTACCCCGTGTGGGTTCGGTTATATGTTGACTTAGGAAACAGTCCTGGATCGTTTCGAGAAAATCCTCTGATTCTGAGTTACCCGTAAGGTCAGTCCAATCTATTTGGCTAAGGTTAAAGTCGCCTACTATACAGACCTTGTTGTGTATGGAAGCCCTGCGCATTTCATCCCAGATAAGTCTCTCACTGACTCTATCAAGATTGGGAGGTCTATATATTATTCCTGTGATTAAGTATAGCAATGTTATGTACAATGTGGAAGCTGTGATGTTTCTACTACAAGGATTGTAAGTGTTTTAGTTCCTATGAATATACAGTATATTGCAATAAGCTAGTCGCAGAGAAATGACGCTATTTTTGTCTCATTTTATCTTCTTTAAAAAAAGGAAGGATGTTACAATATGCTATTGTAATGTGCTACATTATTACAAATTGAATGTTGAAAGATGTATACTGTTAATTTTTGAAAGATGTTACCCCAAAGTGTATCTGCTATTGTAACAACAGGATTACACATACCACTGCAGTGGCGTATAACGTGTGAGTGCGGCTCTTTTATTCCTTTATAATATATTTACTATGTCCTCTCATTCCTTTTATAATATTTACTATGACAATGTTCTTGAGTTTGAAATGCATATTTATAAGAGTAACTTTCAAGCATCTGGGGGAAAAAAAGATTATCCAGCACACTTAAGTCCCAATGCATTCCGATATCTGAGCTTATACAGTACTGTATGTTGAGTTAGAGAGCACAGAATAACATGGTAACATCAACAGCCTACCGGTTTTGGTTCACAGGCCTGATGCCATCGACCAGACTGTACAGCAGTAAAATGAATATGGTATAACAAGTCATCAGAGAAAGGAATTTACCGTGATGAGCAGAAGGATGTAGATGGTGTTGTAGAGATAAAAACAGCAGAGGATAAATATCACACTCCAAGGCAGTATCATGAAGTGGGGGCTGTTGGGGTAGTCAGGACCAGGACCATACATAAGAGCCGCTGGCAGAAAGAAAAAGAAAACCAAAAATAAATGTTTAACTAATAACAATAATAATAACAACTATTATTATTATTATTATCATCATCATCATTGTTATTATTATTATTAATATTAATATTATTATTATTATTATTATTATTATTATTATTATTATTATTATTATTATTATCAATAACACAAATAGAAATAATTATAACAATGAAATTAAAACAATGTAACTCGGAATTACCCAACTGGTGACCCTTGCCCAGTGAGGAAGGGGGCAGTGAGGAAGGGCAAAGGTATGAGAGCATACTGAAGGGTAATAATTCCTATATTTCTTCAAACAAGTTCACATAGATGTATAAAATCAAGGGCAGTCAATATATATTATTTTCGTCCCGCTCAATGTTTTGAAGTATTTAAGTTCTGTCACAAGAGGTCTCAGGGCTACAGTATGTCAGTCAACTTAGTGCACGAGAAGAACATAATGTCAGTGTGGTTAAAACAACGCACAGTTATTGCCTATCGGCATTCATTATTCAGTAAAGGCTATGTATGGTGATGATTGTGTAGACAGTCAGTGGAATAGTCACAAAAATTCCCACGGACTAAAGGAAAGTTAAACCCCATGCGTGTGCTGTAAAACTGTTTTATGGAGTGTTAGTGGTGTTGTCCACTACACTGAAACTCTGGAGAGATTAAGGGTATGGATATGAAGCGTCGGACCGATATTCAGCCTCCAGCATGACAATACTGACCTCACACGAATGCACTAAGGACTGAAACAATTCGCCGCCTTGGTTTTTCTGTCTTGGACCATCACCATACAGCCCAAACCTGACTCTACCAGATTTATCTTATTCCCCAAACTAAGGAGCATCATGGAGAACAAATTTCTCTTTGGACAATATAATCAAGACGGCTATGAGGAATTGATTCCGTCAACAAGACACACAGTTCTTCTTTCCTGATGATCTCAATAAAGTTCAGTGTACAGTAGGCATCTGTTTTTGTTTCATTTTGATATCTAATCCCTTTTCAGAATTGTAAACTAGGAAGTCTTTATTTTCAGCACTCCCTTGCAGAATTGAGAATTGATTACCTTATAAAATTAAAAAAAAACATGGTTCAGTATCTACCGCACAACTGTTGAACTGTCCTACTATATTGGAAAACACTTATTCCTCTTTCGGCTATTAAAAATAAATGTTGAAAATCTTTTTGTAGGATCCCCTGAAGATGAGTCTCCAGCTTATTTTCCTTGAAGATTGATTATTTTAATGCTAACGGACCTGAATCTAATCCAGCTTAGCATAATGTAACTTAACTTAATCTAATCCAATTTAACCTAGCATTGGGGCATTTAATCACCAGGTGAAATAAGTTGGGGGCGAATTTTTAGAAGATCTATTTATTTTCATTTTTCCTTCAGTAAGATTAACACTATTTTGACTTCTGTGTCTGTTATATTCGAAAATTTTATTTAAATTATTCTTAAAAATAGGACCAACTTACAATAATAGGTAAGCGTGAAAGTCACAGCTGAGGCAACACACATTACAAGCTGTGGAGAGAATCATTGATGAGTTAGTAATTAAGGAAGTGAAAAGTAAATAAACAGATACATGAAAGACCATACTAACTTTATACGACAATAGGAATCATTAAGTACTTGGTAAGCATACAGATTAATACATTATGTACAGTATGTCAGCTGTTGGTAACAGTCTTTCAACTTAACCATTACAGCTATGAACATTAAAGACACAACACTCACACAAAGATGGCTCAGAAGACAAGAGATAAAGTGGCCACATGACTGAAGAATTAAACCAAGGGGCCCTAAGGGCGAATGACTTTGAGAGCGGCTACCAAGTTGAAGGATTTCAGAATGGTGGTATAGAGAGTGAATGACAAGTAGACAGGATTCACTAATGTGGCCACAAGATTGACCGACTCACACGAGAGGGCAAAGTTCACAAAATATTATTAGTTACAGAAGAGAAGAGGAGTTACAGAAGAGTGGAACAGGAATAGAGGTAGGGAGGCAGACTAAAAGAGGGACTCACAACGTTGATGATGCCAAGAGTGAGGGTGGCGATGTAAACACATCGGGTGGAGCAACACATCTTCTCTATCCCCAAACTTATCACTTCAGAAGAGTACTAGTCTGAAAAAGTGGAATTAAAAAAGACGAAATTTCACAATACTGGTATGTCGTATGAATATGTTCCTGGAAAACACAAATTTAGCCATGCTATGCCATTCAAGGAGTGGATAAGTACTTGGCGACTGAAACTAGTTCTATTTGAGGGTTTTTTCTCTTAGATATTTATTAACTATAAAAGTACAGGGCAGAGTAAAATTTACACAATTTACTTGAGAAACACTCAAAAGATCCTTAACCCTAGAGGAGTTATGTCGATTTCTTGGGACACGACAGGTCATGCCAGGTTAGAGACAGGTCATGCCGGGTCACACTAACACTACCAGGGGAAAAAAATTGTCTAATCACAATAATTTGTAATAAAATTGGTGGACATATAGAATAAACAATGCTTAATATAACTGGTACAAAAGTATTTAAATATGAAAAACGAAGACAATACACTTTAGTTTTTGGCAATTTGTGGAAAAAATTTTGGCATCTCTAAGAATATTTTAATATAATTAGAATATTATAAAACAAATACAGGTAATTGATTGTTAATAAAACTTATATGAATTCCTGAAATAAAAACATGGTTTTATAAAAATAATTTTACTAAATTAAACCAAAGAAAGGCGATATTGATTTTGTATAAAAGGATTAAGCTACTGTAAGTGATTAAATCAAAAGTCTTCAGACAACACATCTCTTATTCCGAAAAAGTTTGACCTCTCAGCTTTCTGAAGCCTCAGGTCCAGTAAACTGTGAGGGCAAATTTTTTGAGGAGTGAGAGTTGTGAACTCTTGGAACAATCTACCAGAAAGTGTTGTGACGGCACCGAGTGTGAGCTGTTTCAAGACCAGACTTAATCAACGCTGGAGCAGGTTCAGATACATTCAGGAGCCAGTACATGCCCAGTACTTGCCAACAGTACGTAACAGAGACGTGACCGATCGCCCAAGCGAATAATGAGCCAATCAGAGGTGAAGAGGATAAAAGAAAAAAAACATCTGTAAGGGCTGTAACAAGCAGGTAGGTTGTCTGCCACTTGTTTGCTTGTTCCCTGCCCCACTAGGGGGGAAGACGGAGGTGAGAAGGCCGCTGTTGTCCTGTCGCCGGGGGAGACACGATCCAGCCTTCACCACAGCTGTTACTTCACCCTGCTGTTTATTCCAACTCTAGTTGCGTACTCCTCGGAGGTTCCTGGGGCTCGTGGGCTGATTCCCCGGTCCTTCACTATTCGGCTGTCAACTCCGGTCATCTACTCCAATTACTGCCGCGGCTGCCACGTGATCATCACTTCCTCTAAGCCCTATCCACTGTCCGTGCCTTGGCATCTCTCTTGTGTGGCAAGACATCGCCCACCAGTGCCGGCACCAAGGGAGGAAGCTGCCCTGGACCTTCCCCCTGAAAGCGGATCACTGCATTACCAGAACAGTCTACAGAGCTGGTGAAAAGGAAGATTCATCTGCAGCTGTAGGAAATACCTGTGTCAGGGCTGTAAAAAGCAGGGTGATTGCCCACCGCTTGTTTGCTTGTTCGCGACCCCCAGTAGGGGGGGGGGGGTAGACGGAGGTGAGAACGTTGCTGCTGGCTCGTCGAACACCAGACACTACCCAGCCATCAACACAGCTGTACTTGCACCTCGCTGTTCGTTCAAATTCTGGTTGTGTTCTCATCTGAGGTCCTGGACTCTTGGGCTGATTCCCCAGACCTTTTCGATTTGACTTTCAATCGCCAGACACCTACCCTAGCTACTACCATGGCTGCCACGTCATCGCCACTTCCTCCACGCCATATCCACTGTCCGTGCCCTGGCATCTCTCCTGTGTAGCAAGACATCGCCTGCCGGCACCAAGTGAGGAAGCTGCCTTAACCTCGCCCCCTGAGAATGGATCACTGTTTTACGGAACCCTCCACTGGGCCACCGTCATAGGAAATATTCTGTGTTTGATTCTCGTAATTATTGTCTCCATTAATTGTTTGACTCCCGTTAATTGTTTGACTCCCGTTAATTTTTTGACTTCCTTAATTGTTGACTCCATTAATTGTTTGATTCCCTTAATTGTTTGACTCCATTAATTGTTTGTTTGATATTTGTGTGAGTGGTGCCAGTTTTTTGTTATTTCATAGTAAAGAGATGTCAATCTCTAACGGTTGTTTATCTCTCGGAAAACCATGGTTCTTGACTTTCCTTTTATAAAATCCTGATTAGGCTGGCAAGGGATTTCTCCCAAGTCCCAGGACTTTACAACCTGTACTTTGTTTTAGTGATTGTTTTTTTTAAGTAATTATTTGACTTCAGGGCTGTTTATTTAGTATTTGTGTGAGTGGTGTCAGAGTTAAATTTTTGTGATTATTTTCTTAGCAAAGAGCTGTCCTCTCTAACGGTTGTTTATTACCCCTTGGAAACCCATGGTTCTTGACTTTCCTTTGATAAGATCCTGATAAGGCTGGCCTTTACAACATCAATTGCCTCTTTCTTTTTCTGAATCCTCATTCATCCCCCTAGTACCCTCCTCCCCTGAATCCATCAGTGATAACTGATAACCTATAAAAGGTGCTAATGATGTTATGCCAATGAGGAAATTATAACCCCTCTCCTACATATTATTCTGTAATCACACTTGATTGCATTAGTAGGTGACTGACTTTCTCAACATCGAAAAATGGCAGTGTACACACTGGCATGCACAACATCTGTTGGTAAGCAAAGAGACTAATTTTGGTGGTTCAGACACCGACCTTTGGAACTTCACTGACAGGGAACTTTACCAAAATTCTCTGTCATGGACTGTACAGTACAGCATCTCAAAAAAGTACATGCTGGGATGGGTTTGATGACTTCCAAAACAATGAATGTAGTCTCGTTCAAAATTCTTCGAACACTGCTGGAGGCAGCTGGCAACTCAAGGCCGTTTGTTTACTATAGTACGTAGTAAAAATTATGAATAAATGTAAAAGTGATCGGTGATTGGTTACTTAGTTCCCCGTTGCTTAATTTAATGGTTGGGCTTTGTTGTTTCAGATTATATTATACTACGCATTATAGCAAACAAACGGCTTTAGCCTTAAGTTGCCAGCTGTTCCCAGCAGTGTTCGAAGAATCTTGAACGAGACTGTACATCAACCCTATATAGGTGTTGTACAAGACCGCTTAATCGACCTGAAAAAATATGATTCAGTATTGTCGGACTTTTCTCAAGGAACTTGCAAGAGGGGTGTGGTTATCTATGCTAGGCAAGACCTTAGAGCCAGCCAGGTGAGGGTACAGGGAGAGGACATTTTTGAAGAATCGAAGTGGTGTAAAATTAAACTAAAGGGGAGACTTAGTCATTGTCTGGTGTATCTACAGATCCCCAAACCATAATGTTATAAACCAAAAGAATTTAAGAATCTTAATTGACAAGGCAACGAGGCTCAACCCTAGCCAACTCCTTGCCATGGGGAACTTTAACTATGGAGACATCGACTGGAGAAATGAGTCCACGCCAAATGACTTAAATAACCCCGCTACTTTTTTTTGTAGAAACTCTTGAGGGAAGCAAACACGCAAACCGCTGGACTTCATTATAAGTAATAAGGAGGGTATGATGACCAACCTGGAACACCTAGTCCCTGTTTGCACCATTCACCATGTGACGTTGTCCTTCAGATTTAACTGTTACTTGTCTATGACAAAACCAAGCCAAGGTTCAAATATTACAAGGGTAATTACGACAGGATGAGGGAGGAAATGAGGGATATCCACTGCCCGACTCACTTAGGTATAAGAATGTAGATACCACGCCGACTATAATAGCCAGTAAAGTGAACCATTTGACTGATAAATATATACCCAAAACCAAACCCAGTGCCTCCAGGAATACAAGGAGACCGCTAAACATGAACCATGCGGCGGTCGGCAAAGTTAAGAAGAAAACTCAGAATTTCGAGAAATGGGTTAAGGGAGATATGCAATATCCAGGAACCAAGCAAAATCAGAGTGTAGAAGGGCTGAAAAGGAAATCCAGAGGCTGATTACAAGCGAGGTCAAGTCAAATCCAAAGGCTTTTTACCGCTATACAAAGTCGAAATTAAAAACGTGAGTAGGAGTATCAGACCTGAGGCTTGAAGATGATAGTTACGCAGATTCTGACCAGGATGAAATGGAGCGTTGAACAGTTTCTTTTCCTCTGTGTTCTCAAGGGAGCATGCGAACAATCTTCCTGCATTTCAGGACAGATAGTTTGTCGCAGCATTTACACACATTGTTCACAAAAGAGGTAATAAGAAAGAAATTGTCAAAACTAAAGGTACATAAGAGACACGGCCCTGACATGGTGCATCCCAAACTGCTAAGAGAGTTGTGCAATGACTTTGCTGAGCCCCTAAGATCCGGTTCTGTAAATACCTGGATGAGCAAAAGGTCCCCAGTGATTGGAAAATGTTTTTTGTGATTCCAACATTCAAGCAAGAGCAATCTTCACCCTAGATAATTATAGACCAGTAAGCCTGACCAGCATAGTACGTAAAGTACTAGAGAGCTTTATAACAGATGCCATGAAAGAGCATCTACTACAAAACAACCTTGTAAAGGACTGCCAACACGTATTTATGCCGGGACTCTCATAAATCTTAGCAGCCATTTCTTCGACCACTCTTGCAGCTCAAAAAGATCTTTCTGCAGCTCTTCACAGTCTGCTTGTTTCTTAATTTCCCTGAATAACTTGACGTCCACAAATATTTGTATGGAGGAATGTATAGCTTCAGGCATGTCATTTATGAAACAACAACAATGGACCCAGTACGCTGCCCTGTGGCATCCCGCTTGTCATGGGTACACATGACGATTTCGTACCATTACATAATCACCAAACACTGCTTGCGATCATAAGAAAGTCCCCAATCCACACTAGGAGACTTCCCCGAATCCTTGCACCCTTGTGATCACGGTTATTTGTATTAAACACAATTGTTTTAAATAACTTCTGGAACTCTTAAAGTGGCAGGGCTGATGTAAACACTTCTTGTGAATTTTC